ATGATCTGAGAACGCAGAGAATATAGAGAAGTTTATGAGAGGAAACGTGTGACACTCAAGCCTAACGTTAGCTGGCATAATGTTTGCTTATAACTAGCTGCTGTTGTTTAGCTAGCTCACTGTAAACTGTTTGGAGACGTGAGGTTCGTATGCCTAATCTACTGACAATAAGTCATTTTGACAATACCTTGAATAATACGTAAGTTAATTTACACTAATTAAAGTATATTTATGAGTACAGTATTGTTTTCTTCTTTTAATAATAAATTAAAAAAAACAGCTGACTGTACCTTTAAGTCTTCAAGTTTGTTGAGTTATTTATCAGGACCTGTATTTTTCATTCATATTTGCAGTGTGTTGGTTGTCTCTTATACCCTCATCTCAGTTACAGGCTTTTTGGGAGTTTTTCTAATCCAAATTAAGGGTGTACCAAAAGGGACATTTTGTAGAGCTCATCCATTCATCCACCAATTTTCTAACCACTAGCCATTGAGTGAAATTTATAATTTGTGATATTGCTCTATGTAAACTAAATGACTTTATTTAATCTAAAGGGACAAAGTGCTCCAATATCATTTTTAAAATCTTATTAAAAAAGCAAAGAAACTGTGATTGTCCTAGGCCGCCAAAGAAGCACGAGAAGAACTGCAATAGGAATAGAGATGTGACTATTTTTCAGTTTTCCCCTCCCCCACATACACACACTAAGACACACATGCGTAAAATGACAAATAGCCTGTGACGTGCCTCTGTGAACATGGCACGAAAGGGCCCACTCCCTTTCCCCAGGGCTAATAAGGCACTGCAGTCTGCTCCTGGGCAGATCTCCGTGCTGAATCCGAATTTTACTACCAATAAAGGAAAAATCTCATGCGAAGCGACGCCTTTATTTCTGTTAGTGTTTGCAGTCGCCAGGTAGCAGAAACACAATCAGTGCAATTCATTATGTTTTTCTGATCCCCCAGGCCCACCGCTTTGCATGACTCAACATCTAAATGTGCAAAGAAGCAGAAAGGAAAAGGACTCACAATTGGTTGATTGGAATTCTGAAATCGGCCAATTACAAAGCTCAATTATATTACCTCCATCTCACATTCAGGTTTTGTTTGTGAAAGAATGTGTGAGATACATAATTGAGATACTAGATACTTATTGTAGCTCTAATGGCTCAGACTAAAACAAGGTAATTGTCTGTTACTGTTAGCTAGACAAAAATTGAAAATTCTTTGTTTTTAGCTTCCTGTCAGATCTGTTATCAAGTTACATTCAATATTTTCTTTGAGAGGGGGAAGCAGTCGACAGAGTTCTGCTTGCTCAGTTGAAAATGTGACAGGTGGCCTCGAATGTGAGTACGACACATTCAGGGTTTGAGTTATTCTTAAAGGTCTGCTGGGTTTTGGTACGAGCACGAGAAGAAGAGGAAAGGAATGCATATTGATGCCGTAAACTTACACCATCCTTGTTTATTCAGATGGCTTTTCTCGTGTTGAAGAGGGAGATCAAATAGGCACATCAATTATAAATTGTGCATAAATGTTACTGATGTGGCTCTTGCTTTTCAGGATACTAGAATAACTCAGCTCTATGGCTCCAGTGGGCCTTTGGACAAACAGAAGTATGATGGTGGACAGCAAAAACTAAATGCTCCCTCTGGTCTGACGGTTGCACGGGGCTGTTGTGACGTTTCTCACAACCGATACCAGACGCAGACAGCTTGTTCTCCATTCTTTTGACCAAGAGGCAGCCCAGAATATAAATCCTTGTATACGCTTGTCGTCTTTCTTTTCCTTCCTTCTTATTTTTGCTATTATGGTGCCGACAGGGTTTGAGCAGCACTGGTCAAATGCAATTGAGAACACTATCAATCTTCCCATCCAGCTCTTGGTAAGAGAGCATATTTCCACTCTGCTGTTACCCATTTATTTTTGGACCATTGTTTTAAAGGCTTCAGTTTGGCATTTCCACTGCTGCTACTTTGGTTAGCATTTTCAGCCAGATGTGATCATATCTGGAAAAGTGAGTAGAGTTTCTCACGTGATTTCACACACACTTGATCAAGTTACCCGCCATGTTGGACATAATACAGCGTACTGTCACTAGGGAAATATGTCTACTCCGACTCGTTGGCGAATTTCGCTACATCAGGCTGAAGATACTGTTCATGAACATGGGCTGGGTAAATACACTACCAAACACTCATTTTATACAATGTAGCAACATTTATTTCCATCCAGAGTTGCATTAATTTTTCCATATTAGCGATGGGAGAGTCGGACTATTGCGTACACTTCCCCAGCAACTCCCAACAGTTCTCAGCGGGGTTAAGATCTCAACTCTGTGGTGCTCAATCTGTGTATAGAAATGTATGTAACAGCTCCTGCTCCCTGAACCACTTTTTCACAGTTTGAACCCACTAAATCCCAGCATTGACATCTGGGAATATTCCCATGTCATCAGGGAAGAAAAAATCCACTGATGGAAAAACTTGGTCAGTCAATACTCAGGCAGTCATTTGACCCAATCTTCCATTCACAGCTTCAGTTATGTTTGCCAGCCTAAATATATTAATCTGTAATGAACTTTTTGCCTAGTTAAATCCAGGTGGTGACTTTTTTTGGGTCAGGAAGTTTATATAAATCACAACCTGGAAAGTCCTCTAGGCACCACCAGACACAAAATAATGTGTAATAAGCTAATCACTTTATAAGTGAGCGATGTGTTAATGTGTCCATGTTTGAACTGATCAGATAGTCTGATGACTTGGCTTCTGCGAATGGTCATTGTTTTCTGGGACTCCAGTGAAGCCAGCACATCTCAGGCTAAGATTTACATTTTTATCCTCCAAGCATGTTTATGAATAAAGATCTTTTTAAAAGCATAAAAAATGTCATCAGAGAATGGCTGATGATTTTCCATTGCATTACAACAAATGTTTTCCATGTATTACAGTCCACATGGACTCCGTACTTGCATGCAACCAAAGCCTGCTCCAACGGTCAATAGCATTTGGACTACAAGCGCACTGCAAAGCAAACCAGAAAGCTTCAGGTAAAGTTTCATCTAACACAATGTCAACATAGCTTATTCATATCTATTTCTGGAGATTTGCCATAAACAATTGCTGAACAGGATAGTGCCCACTTTTCAGTCAAAGCTGCAGTGCCTTTTATTTTGCACATTTTAAACTTCAATAGAAATTAAATAAATCATTAAAAAAAAAGACCAAAAAAAAAAAAGTGATTGAGTCAGCCAAACATTGATGTGCCAGGACCTGCAGTTTCTGGGACAGGCTGGCTTCCTTTTTCATTTGGTTGCCACAAATAGGCATTTTCTTTCTCCCTGAAGACATCAAGCTGTTCCCAAGTGCTCTCCCTCTCACATTATTAGTCTTCCTACCTGTTACAGCCCGCACACACACACACACACACACACACACACAGATCCGCTGATCCACTCTTGCTGTATACATCGTCTGGCGACACACAAGAATCTACATATGGACCAACACACTTTTTGGATATAATTTCAGATCACATATCTTACTTTGGCCCTTCAGAAAATAACATCATACACAAGAGACCCTAAGATCTTTTCCTCTGTGTCTGAGTGAGGCGGACAGGGGGAGGCAGAGTCAACACTGATGGCTCGCACATGTGGCTGTGAAACAGGCAGCTCAGAGGCTGTATTTCAAACAGCAAGGAGGAGGTCTTCAGGCAGAGAGACACAAGGGATGACTGAGTGTGTAAATACGCACAAGGTGTTGATATAGTGTCGAGTGTGTGTGTACAGTCATGCCTGCATCCTTCTAAGCACTGCATAAGGAAGTAATAACGCATGTAACCAGGTCCTTTATCTCATGCTCATCTTGCATCCTGATAGTTTTAATATAAACTTTTTGACATGGATTTTGGTTTTTCTCTTGCAATGCTAGATAGACGGGGTAAGGGTTGCAGGCTTTACAGAGCCATTTCAGTCAAAGACTACCTCCTCCCCCGGGCACTGTATTTATCAGTTCAAGTCAATTCAGTGTCATTTTCACATCTTTCAGCCTTCATACTGAGCTCAAATTTCCACTAAAGCACACCCATCTGTCTCAGCACCAAAGAATAAAATGTTCACAGGAGGTTTGCTTATTACTGTAAGAACAGATCATACTCGTCTCAAAAGAGGTGTTTCTATTTGGCATTAAAGTGGGATTTTTCGATAGTTGTACGGTAGTGAAGTTGCAGTAATTATCTAAAGTAAGTACATTTGCCAAATAGAGGCATGCAAACTTAAACATAAGATTATTAAGATTTTCTGTTTTAATTCCAGGAGTTTATCAAAAGTACTGAATTACATATATATATGTGGTATATATAT